AAAATGTTGATTATCTTCACACCCTATTATTTAATGATGATTTTGTTGCTAAGATCATTAAGAAACATCCTAATGTGTTCTTTAGTTATGCATTTCATGAAGTAATGCCACCCAATATGTCATTGCTTCAAAATCTTGGGTTTTCAAGTGTCGATATAGAGAAGCTTATGCTTTGGAATCCTAGAATTTTGACTCAAAAGGCTGAGCGCCTCAAAGACATAGTTGATCGAGTAGAAAAGACTTTCTTTCTTTCTCGCGAATGCAACATGTTCATACATGGGGTTTATGCACTTGCATGGCTTGACGAATCGACGGTGAAAAAGAGATTAGAAATCTTCAGGAGCTTCTGGTGGTCTGACTCGGATATTTTTACATTGGTCCAAACATGTCCTCTCTGTTTGACAAAATCCGAAGCTAAGATCAGAAATGCGTTAAATTTTTTAATGAAAGAAATTGGATATGAGTCTCATTACCTGGCTTCTCATCCCACGTTTTTGACATGTAGCTTGGAGAAAAGGGTTCTACCTAGACATAATGTTTTGAAGCTACTCAGCCAAAAGGAGCCGACAAAGTGTAGTCTGAACCTTTATACTGCTGTGATATGTTCCGAGTCGAAGTTCTTAGAAAGATATGTGCTGCCTTTCAAGGATGAGATGCCCGAGGTGTATGATATATACATCAAAAGTAGAAGCCGATAGAGCATTTTGTGAGTTTTACCAAATTTACTGATATGTTGTTTCTAGTCTGTTTTTCTTTGAGCTCAAAGTTATTGTTGGCTTATATCTCATTGCTATCAAAGAGGCCAAATCATTACGTTCTCCACGGTTGTTTTTTTATTTAATTGGATTAGACCAGCGTGGAATTTAAATAAAATAAATGAAGTTTGACGCTAAGTCATAGGGGCAGAAATAAGCCAAATGGTGGAAGCATTTGAAGAATATTTAGCGCTTGAGCAATTTTGGCCATTTTCCGTAAATTGAAATGGAAGACATGAGAATTAAAAAGATCCTAATGCAAATCTTATCCAAATCAAATCATAGCTAATAGAGGATTCTGTATTTATCAACTCTAGACTTTGGTTGTTGGGATGTCTGCATTTCTCAACAATGGCGTTAAGCAACTCCTTCACGTTTATCGCTTCAGATTTCATGTCTTTTACTCAAAAGCTGCTGTTGCTGCAACTTCCGACACCAATTTCTTGGTAGAAACGCTGGTGAACTCACTTGGCTTCTCCCCACAAGAAGCCCTTTCTACAAGTGCCAAGGTAAGTTGCTTGAGACCCAGAAATTATAACCCTAATTTAGTGCTCAATTTCTTGGAACAAGTTGGTTTAGACAAGACCCATATCAAAAAAGTTGTTTATTCAGTGCCCGCATTGCTGCTTTGTGATGTAGATTGTTATGACTTGGGTAAGCCAAAATGAAGTACTTGGGCCTAGGAGCGTGTGGGACCCAGATTAGAGGCACATGTGTCAAGGAATTACTGGACAAGAAGGAATATAGTTACTATAATTACAACTTCGTGCAAGCATACGGTTATGCAAATTGTTATTTTGAAATTCCCCTCTCCTCTTCTCTCTCCCTGGACTTTTCTCTGTGGCTCTGTTTTCCTCATCCCCTTTCTTTCTGTTTCTCTTTCCTTAGTTTATGACTATATCCTATATCTTTCTATTGTAATCAGTTTATTTGAAAGTTTAATCAAGGCATCATTTTGTTGAGTTCATTACATAGATAAATACCTTAAGCCCAAAATTGAAACTCTTAAAGAAGTTGGGTTATGTGGATCGGATGACCTTGTCAAAATTATCACAAACAATGGATGTTGCTTCAGAACTAGGGTAGGGTGTTCTATCAAACAAAATGTTGATTATCTTCACACTCTATTATTTAATGATGATTTTGTTGCTAAGATCAATAAGAAACATCCTAATGTGTTCTTTAGTTATGCGTTTGCCAAAAAGCACATTATCTTTACTAAAGTTGTGACATCGCAAAAGACTACTCCTGTCGATTCCACATAGTTCTGTTGGAGAGAGCAGAAAACATCCACCCATTATAGTGTTCTTCCATGCAAGTTGTGTTTATATATGATCATAATAATATGCAGAATAGTTCTCATTCTTATTGCTACTTGTAGTAAAATAAGATTCTTTTCTGAGGCACATCCATGAAACTGGTGCTATTCCAGTATGTTCAAGTTCAAAAAGGTATTAGGACCGGCAAACTTATAACGTCTGTAATTGAGAAAATAGGACTATTTTTCCACAACAATTTGTTGGTGGATATAGTAGCGAATTCACTTGGGTTCTCCACAGAAAAAGTTATTTCTACTAGCGCCAAGGTAACATTCTTGAAACCTGAAAACAACAAGCCTCTATTAGTCATCAATTTCTTCCAACAAATTGGTCTGGACATTTCCCACATCAAAACCCTTGTTTGTACCAACCCTAGTTTGCTGTTTTCTGATGTAGAGAAAATCCTTGAACCCAAAACTAAGCTTCTTCAGGAACTTGGCTTATCTGGTTCTGACATAGCTAAAGTCATCTCAAAAAGTGTGTGTTTCCTGCATTCAAGTCTTGATTACTCTGTCAGACTTGATCTTGATTATTTCCGGAAACTGTTAGGTATTGTGGATTCTGTAGCTAAGGCCATTAAGAGAAGCCCTAGAATCCTTTGGTGCAATGCCCCTAAAGTAATGTCACCCAATCTAGTTAGTGCATCTAATGGGGATCACATTTGGAGATGAAACTAGCAGTATTCAGGAGATTTGGGTGGGTCTGATCTGGAAAACTGGTACAGAAACTTCCTTTATGCTTGACCTTATCAGGGGCTAGGCTTGGAAAAGGACTGAATTTTTTCATGAAGGACCTCAGATATGGAGCCGGTTACCTGGCTTCTTACCTCAAACTTTTAGCACACAGCTTGGAGAAGAGGGTGATGCCTAGGTATGAAATCTTGAAACTTCTTGGCAAGAAGAAGCTTTCAAGGGGTAGCCTAATCTGTGTTATTGCATATTGCCTGATTCATGATTCAAAGTTCTTAAAGAGTTATGTGCTGCCTTATATGGATGAGAGGCCTGAGCTCTAGGATTTATACATGAAAAGTAGAAGATAAAGACTGTAGTAATCATTTTGTTGATAATGTTGTTCTGTTTGATCCAATCACCTCTTGAAATATTACAGCTGATGAGAGATTCTGTTAACAAATAGATTCTTATTTGTCATTTAATGCTTATTTTCCTAAGTGGAGAGTGAAGACAATTTTAACTTCTATCATTTGGATTTGTAAATGCATGTCTCTATCAAGATAATTTCCTGGTTTTAGCTGAAATTTCCACCTCCTTTCGATCTTTATGAATTTGGTATTGCTAAATCCATAACCTGCATAACTTGATTCAAATGATGTGTTCTTGCTGGTAGATAAATCTGCAAGTCCGTTTTATCAGCGGATAATATTGCTGCTGAAGCCACCTCATTGAATTGGTGTTTCTTCCTTTGTCTGTGACATGAGAGAGGTGGCAAAAGTCTTTACTAACTCATTCTCATTTGTTGCTGAAATTTCCACCTCCTTTTTGCCATTATGATGACACTGTTCCTAAAGCCATAACCTGCATAACTCAATCCCGATGACATATTTTCGCTTGTGGATGAAATCTGTTAGTTTTGCATTTGTCAATTGATAGTATTTCTTCCATGCCCCCTAATTGATCTGGTGTTTCTTTCAGTCTGTCTGTAACTAAGGAGGTGGGAAAAATCTGGTCGATTTTTGGAGATTACTATGCTAGAGCTACCATATTTATCACCTTAATAACTTTACTGCATATTTCTTTCTAATCTCCAGAAATGTCTAGTTGTGCTGTCATATCTCTAGATTAGGTTTGGAAGGATCTAGCCTCTTGAGTAAGATTTGGCTTGTGATTTAAATTGGATTTGCTTTGGTTTGTTCTACTCTATACCATAGCTGTATGTTTCAAAACTTTTTTTTCTCTCTTAAACTTTGTGCCCTAGTCGATTACCGTCATATAAATTACCTTACGGTTTCAAAAATTACTTTATATACATAGGGATAAAAGTATAAATATAAAAATTCTTAACGGGTTAACGGTTTATCTAATAAGGAAATTGAGTAATCCGCCCCCAAACTGTTAAGACGTTAATTACAAAATCTCAATCCGTTCACCAATCGTTACCCCGATAATGCGATACCAATAAACCAATAAGCCATTTTTCGATTCAGTTAACAATTACGATTTGGTTTTGAACAGCCCTATGTTCCAATGTTGAAGTAGAGTTCAGATAAGGTTGTGTTCGTACGTGAAGTAGACTATTTTGACTTCGTTGTAGAAAGACAAGAAACTTTGTTCTCCTTGCGGTAAGAATCTTTGCGCCTTTTTCACTTTTAACCCGCGCCAGAAACTGTTTACATTTAGTAAGGAATAGTTTGCGTGGACAGACCATTATGATCCCTCTTATTATGATCCCTCTTATAATTATCTCTCAAGCAATAATTTCACTACAATTAGTAATATTACAGTGTACTTCATTCTATCTCGTGACCCGAATAAACAAAGAGAAGAGTAGGCACTGCTTAGTATCAAGCTAACAAAACAAACTTAGATTTCTAGCTTTACCTGAGATGAAAGTGATTGTAGATGAAACGCTAGTGACAGTGAGATGCTTTTTAGTAAAGGGTGACATCGATTTGACACCATTTTACAAAAAAATTCTTATGTATGTATTTGTAAATGTTTTAAGGAATTTTTATAAATGTGTATATATACACAATAGGCCCGTATGCCACTAGAGGATAGTACAAATACATATCAATTTTGTACATGAAGTAAATCCCTAAAACTATTATAATCGATCCCTGATTCTACTTGTTTACCTCGAAAATACGAGTAACAATTAAACTTGATTTGTGTTTTTAAAGATATGTGATTTAATTCAATACCAATTAATAATCAAGAAATATGAAGTAGAAATGAATAAGACAAGTGAATCAAACTAGTGTTGCTCAATAACAGTGACCTCGAGGTGGGCTTAGAACAGTAAGAACAATTAAGTAAGAAAAATAAAGTGAGAACAGTAGAGCTAAGGACAATTCTGATCAACAGTAGGCCAAAAAGTAGAGAGTATATTCTTTGCTCAATGATTAGATCATCTTACAAACGATTAGAGTCCCCTTTATATAATAGGGGAACCCTAAATAAGGAATATTTCTATTTACAGTAAGAAATATTCTTGGTACAATTGTCTAACCGCCTAGTACGGAATCGTACAATCCTATTCCGGGATTTGCGCCATAACTTTGGGGACGTGGCAGGAATCTTGCTCATTCTGGTACAAATCCATAACGGTACTATTTCGGGGTCGAGCATACTTGGCCCCGGTATTCCTCGAACTCCCATCCCGGGCATTACACTCTGTCTTCGAGCTTAAGTCTGATCAACCGGTCTCGAACTTGAGCTTGCCCGGACTCAGACTTCGGACGACCTCTAGAATACATAGATCGAAGACATTCGATCTTGACCGTATACACTACTTGCAAATTCGAATTGTGACAATAGGTCGACACTGCTAGAGGTTACTCAAACTTTTCAACACGCACACAAAATATACGAAAAATATATAATTTTTCGGCTATTATTTAGAGAGTGGCTATACATTGTCATTTTTCCTATTTTGAATTCTATTTTG